CAAAAGACCTTGTGGCACTGGAAGTGTAAAGTCTGAGTAGCAGACAGTAGCTTACCTGTGCTGAGGGGTTTCTATGGGAGGAAGGGAGAGAAGGAAGAATTTTCTGGCAGAGAACTGTAATCTCTGATCCTTGCAGGGAGTCAGTGAGACATATGGAACAAACTCCTGACCTCCTGCTGCTACAGCACCAACTGCTGCTGTGAACTGCTGCTGTGAACGTTACTCTGACCCTGCCATGAGACCCGTCCCCTCTTTGTTGGAAGGAAGTGGGGGAACAAACCTGAGAAAGGGACTTTCTTCACTACCCTTCACTACTTCTGCTGGCTGGAGCCAGCCCCAGAGAGAACTGGGTCTGTTCCTTGTCTGCTGTCTTTCCAGGTTAATTGCACTAAGCACACAGGGAGAATTGTGCTTTTTTTGCCAGGCCTCTGCACTGGGGCTCCAACATTGTCATTTTGACAGTCCTCCTTTCCCTGAGCTCCCTGGTAGCAGAGAGCACAGGTAACAGGTACAGATGCTTCCTTACAGTGAACATGGCCCCTGCCAGGTGTTGCCTAGCCTTGGGAGAGCAGCTCCTTGCTGTTGTCAAATCACTTTTCCTTGCCCTGATGGATTGTGATGTTGAGCCTGTGCCTACTACTTCCTCGTGTCTCCAAGCTCCAGTGGGCACAGACTGAGACAAAGCAGTGTCTGGTTCCATTGTGCTGTGGGAAATGACTTACTGGTTACAGATATTTTGTTTTTCTATTTTGTCTCATTTTTATGGTACTACTTTAAAATTTACTTTCTTTTTAATAAAATATTACTCCTTCTCAGCCCTCTTGGAGTCCTGCAAGCTGGGTTTTGCTTGTTTATTTTTCCCCAGGGCCTGTGAAGGTTAGGGTCAGTAAACTGTCTTAATTTTACAGATAGCCACTGTTACGGGAGAGCTATCAAAGCCAGTGCTGCTGTCTGCTTTACCTCTTGGTTGTCTCAGCAAGAGTGCTCCTGCAACTACCTCTTCTGCTCCTAACCTTGGCTCTCCCAATACCTTGTCTGTGTCTTTTGCATCAAAACCCTGTCTAAGGGAAAAGATTTGAAAGTTAGAGGCTGAGGTGGGTTATTCTAGCATTGCCTTAGCCAAACACTAGTACCACCCAGTCAGAAGAACAGATCTATAGTTCCCTGACACACCTCTTGTGCTTTTCAGCACCACCCCCCTCAGACCTTGTATCTGGGATGCTGCTGCATTTAATGGCTGTACACAATTTAAGTGAATTTGTTGGCTTTTATCTTTACATGGCCAGCTCTTCCCTTTCTCTGAACCTTTTCTAGTGTTCCAGTTCCATACTTCCAACCTCCTGGCTGGTGCTTTGCTGCCTTTTTCCAGCAGTGCACTGAGTTTGCTACAGCATGATTGTTTTGTTTTATTCTTTATTTGCTTGCTGCTGCTGAGCACTAAGCTGAGTGTCACAACTCAAATGGTGACTTTCCAAGAGTCAGTGCTCTAGTCTGTGCATGTGAATGGCTCCATTTGGATTATGCAGTGGCTAGAGCCACCGTGGTTTCATCTTAGCCCAAGATCCCCAGTACTGGTCAAGCACCAGACTTCACTAAGCTAGGAAGGTGCTTTCAGACTCCTCTTCCAACAAGCAAACAGGAAGCAAACACTTTATCTCATAGCTTGATAAAGACCAGGCAAACAGGATAATGGTTCCACTTGATCAACTAACTCTGGGTTTGGTTGCATGTCATTTATTTCAACTTGTACAGAGAAGCTTGAACAGCTGTGTGGAAAAAAACACTTAGTTTTCTTTCTTCTTAGGTAATATAATTTAAAAGTGGTAAATACACAGTATTTAAACTTGATACACCTGATAAAGTTAAATGCATAATAAAGGGGTAGGAATGAAACACAAGCCTCGGTCATTAAACAAACAGTATAAAAATCAGCAATAGTTCAGGACCTTAGAAAAGAAACAGATCAATTGCCTGATAGGTAAGAGGGGACCACCAAGAGAAATGACTCAAGACAAGAGGTCTGGTTTCCCCTTAGCACTTTCCTGTGTGCTTTCAGAGCCAAAAAGGCTGAGTACCCAGCATTACACCTACAGTCAGCACTGGGCTTGCTTGAAAGGAAGGGAGGTGCAGAAATCAAGCTATAGCCCAGTTCCAAGGCACAAGCAAAATGTTTACTTCACTCTAAGAAAAAAAATCCAAGCTAGCTTTACTACGAAGGAACAGCAGCTAGGGAACTGAGCAGGATTATATATATAGTACAGCTTCTCTAACAGGTCATGCATTTAGATAGATCTTCCTCACACAGCCACACTTTATGCTTTCAAGAGAACTAACCAACAAGAAAAAAAAAAAATCTACATCAAGTTTCTTTCAGAAATGTGCATTTGGCTACAGCCCTACCAGAGCTGGCACTGAGAGACAATCATTTTGGAGAGCGCCTTAGGGAAGTGCTGAGCTTTAGGATGCTGACAAACCAAGCCCGTGCTAGCCGTAAGACACTGATCTATGGTAATACTGAGTGAGGCCCAGTGACTCTGTGGCTGGGCATTGAGGAACTGGTACAGCTCCTTCTGTTTAGAAGCTGTGTTGCACCTGGAAAGCCTGTTTGGTAAATGTAAACTGTCTCACTAGGCACCTGACAAATCACAAACTGGAGATACGCAGCACAGAGCATCCCTACAACTTACCTGTAACAAAACACCACACACATTACCATGCACCAGCTATAAATAACCAGATCCCCCTTTTTTTTGTTTGTTTTTTCTTTTTTTTTTTTTGGCAGAACAAGTCCATTTACAAGGTCAGAGAATCAAGCTGCCCCCTCACGTG